AGAACTGGATCCAGACCATCTGCTAACAGAACTGGATCCTGACGTTCCGTTAACAGAACTGGATCCTAACGTTCCTCTAACAGAACTGGATCCTGACGTTCCGCTAACAGAACTGGATCCAGACGTTCCACTAACAGAACTGGATCCTAACGTTCCTCTAACAGAACTGGATCCTGACGTTCCCTTAACAGAACTGGATCCTGACGTTCCGTTAACAGAACTGGATCCTGATGTTCCGTTAACAGAACTGGATCCTGACGTTCCGTTAACAGAACTGGATCTTGACGTTCCATTAACAGAACTGGATCCTGACGTTCCGTTAACAGAACTGGAGCCTGACGTTCCGTTAACAGAACTGGATCCTGACGTTCCATTAACAGAACTGGATCCTGACGTTCCATTAACAGAACTGGAGCCTGACGTTCCGTTAACAGAACTGGATCCTGACGTTCCGTTAACAGAACTGGATCCTGACGTTCCGTTAACAGAACTGGATCCTGACGTTCCGTTAACAGAACTGGATCCTAACGTTCCTCTAACAGAACTGGATCCTGACGTTCCACTAACAGAACTGGATCCTGACGTTCCGTTAACAGAACTGGATCCAGACCATCTGCTAACAGAACTGGATCCTAACGTTCCTCTAACAGAACTGGATCCTGACGTTCCGCTAACAGAACTGGATCCTGACGTTCCACTAACAAAACTGGATCCTGACGTTCCACTAACAGAACTGGATCCAGACCATCTGCTAACAGAACTGGATCCTAATGTTCCTCTAACAGAACTGGATCCTGACGTTCCGTTAACAGAACTGGATCCTGACGTTCCGTTAACAGAACTGGATCCTGACGTTCCGCTAACAGAACTGGATCCTGACGTTCCGCTAACAGAACTGGATCCTGACGTTCCGTTAACAGAACTGGATCCAGACCATCTGCTAACAAAACTGGATCCTAACGTTCCTCTAACAGAACTGGATCCTGACGTTCCATTAACAGAACTGGATCCTGACGTTCCGCTAACAGAACTGGATCCTGACGTTCCTCTAACAGAACTGGATCCTGACGTTCCTCTAACAGAACTGGATCCTGACGTTCCGTTAACAGAACTGGATCCTGACGTTCCGCTAACAGAACTGGATCCTAACGTTCCTCTAACAGAACTGGATCCTGACGTTCCGCTAACAGAACTGGATCCTGACGTTCCGCTAACAGAACTGGATCCTGACGTTCCTCTAACAGAACTGGATCCTGACGTTCCGCTAACAGAACTGGATCCTGACGTTCCGTTAACAGAACTGGATCCTGACGTTCCGCTAACAGAACTGGATCCTGACGTTCCTCTAACAGAACTGGATCCTGACGTTCCTCTAACAGAACTGGATCCTGACGTTCCGCTAACAGAACTGGATCCTGACGTTCCGTTAACAGAACTGGATCCTGACGTTCCGCTAACAGAACTGGATCCTAATGTTCCTCTAACAGAACTGGATCCTGACGTTCCGCTAACAGAACTGGATCCTGACGTTCCGCTAACAGAACTGGATCCTGACGTTCCGCTAACAGAACTGGATCCTGACGTTCCACTAACAGAACTGGATCCTGACGTTCCTCTAACAGAACTGGATCCTGATGTTCCGCTAACAGAACTGGATCCTGACGTTCCTCTAACAGAACTGGATCCTGACGTTCCGTTAACAGAACTGGATCCTGACGTTCCGTTAACAGAACTGGATCCTGACGTTCCGCTAACAGAACTGGATCCTGACGTTCCACTAACAGAACTGGATCCTAACGTTCCTCTAACAGAACTGGATCCTGACGTTCCGTTAACAGAACTGGATCCTGACGTTCCACTAACAGAACTGGATCCTGATGTTCCTCTAACAGAACTGGATCCTGACGTTCCGCTAACAGAACTGGATCCTAACATGTTTGATTTTCTTCCGACCTTCTGATTCCTGATGGGGAGGTGGTCATTAGAGGCTGATCGCCCCTTGTTAACCCCTGTTCACTACACCACACCATCAGGCTGGAAGTCTGCCCGATCGGAAAATTCTCCCACAACTGGGGAATCGTCCCTAAAAGCGAAAAACTGGTAGAGTGTAGCCCGGCAGAACAGAACTGGATCTAAGTGTTCGGAGCATGAAGCAGAACTCTCAGATCCATTCCCTCCAGGAGGTTCTGATAAACAAACCGGGTCCTTCATGTTCTCAAGATTCTGGTTCCGTAACATCCTGGCTTCATTCCATCCCTGAGCTAATCCGGTCCCGTCTGAGTGTACAAAGGTCCAAAGATTCAGAACCAGAACCTAGAGAACCCAAAGGTCCAATCACACTAACCTGGGTACTCCAGGAGGGGGCGCTCTGTTGGGCCGAGAGGGGACAGACGGTGCCTGTCCTCCAGGATCAGGAGACACTGCCGGACGACCAGGAGGGCCGGGAGCTGCACGGCCGCCGGGTCTGGGCGGACCGGGCGGGGCCCGCCGCTGGGGGGTCGGACTGGACATAGGGGACCTGCAGAGACAGGCGTGTCTCAGGGACCTGTCAGACCGTTTCTAAGGAACGTACTGATCAGCTCCCAGGTTACCTGCGTCCAGACGGCATCCCCGTCACCTGCAGCCACGAGTCGTCCACTGGGGGGGGCGCTGCCACGGTAACGGTGGAGGTGCTGATGTCACCAATGATGTTCAGACCTTCCTTCAGGGCAAAGTACATCCGCAGCATCTCGTCCCGCCGCATAGCCTGGAGCAGGACAAAGAGCAAGACAACGTCTCTCTGCTGTCCCTCCCGTCTTTCTGTCTCTCCCGTGTCCCTCTCGTCCCTCTCTTCTCTCTGTGTTCCCCCCCGTCTCCCTGTGTCCGTTCTTTCTCTCTGTGTCCCTCCCGTGTCTCCTTGTGTTCCTCCTACCTGTTCCTGGGACTCCTCCATCAGGGAGTTCTGGTCTCCACAGGAGTAGAGTTGGGCCAGCAGGTCTGAGTGGATGAAGTCTTTGGTCTGAGGAGAACAAGGAGGAACTCTGGGTTCTGCTTCTACCTGTGAGAACTTGTGCAGGTGTGTCTTTCATACATTGTTGACCATCAGGTGCATGATGGTCTTGGGGATAAGGTCTCTGACGGTGCGGTGGATGATGGACAGGTACGAGTCCACAAGGTTCCGGACAATCTCCACCTGTCTTTCCAGCTGCGGGTCCATGCTGTGGATCTGCCCATCGGAACTGGACTCCTCGGCCTCCACCTGTTTCCACAGACACCGTCAGTCCTCCAGACCCCCCCAGAATCAGGACCACTGCTGCACCCGTCCACCCTCCACTCACCTTCTCTTTGTCCTGCAGGCAGAGACAGAGACAGAGAGACAGTCAGAGTCTATCAGCATCAGAGGTAGGAAGAACTTAAGTAAGGACTGACGAGTACCACGCTGCGTTCAGGGTACACTCCAGCACGTAGGAAAGATGCCTTCCAACTGTCCACTTCCTCCTGGGACTCACTGGCCAACTCCAGCTGCCGGTAGTCCTTATAGACGTTCCTACAGAACCAGAGAGCAGAACCAGCTGCAGCCTGACTTCTACTTTAAGGACATGGAGACAGAGGGACACGGAGACAGAGGGACATGGAAACAGTGGGACACAGAGACAGGGGGACATGGAGACAGTCGGACACAGAGACAGAGGGACATTGAGACAGAAGGACACAGAGACAGAGGGCCACAGAGACAGAAGGACACAGAGACAGAGGGACAAAGAGACAGAAGGACATGGAGCCAGAGGGACACTGTGACAGAGGGACATGGAGACAGAAGAACATGGAGACAGGGTGACATGGAGACGGACACGGAGACAGAAGAACACAGAGACAGAGGGACATGGAAGAAAGAGGGAAGTGGACCTGTGCTCGGTGCTGAACAGGGCGAAGATGTGTTTGCTGGACATGAAGCTCTTCTCGATGTCCTTCAGCTTCAGGTTGTCCACAGGGAGCATGTACTTCTTCTCCTTCTCCTGCAGGGGGACACAGGGACATGTCAAGCCTGCCCAGGTGTCTTCATGTCCAGTTGACCAGGTGTTCTGCTGGCTGATCCAATCAACGGAGCAGTTAAACCCATCCAGGCGCAACCAGAACTCCTTTAAACCGATTGAACCTGATCGGGTCTCAGATTCATTCTGTCCCCAGAACCAAAGCACCATCATCATCTGGACAGGGACACCACGGTGAGTTCTTGGACAGGGACACTACCATGAGTTCTGGGACAGGGATACCACAGTGAGTTCTGGGACAGGGACACCACAGTGAGTTCTGGGAAAGGGACACCATGTTAAGTTCTGGGACAGGGACACCAGGGTAAGTTCTGGGACAGCGACATCGCCATGAGTTCTGGGACGGGGATACCATGGTGAGATCTGGGACAGGGACACCAAGGTGAGGTCTGGCACAGGGACACCACCATGAGTTCTGGAATGGGGATACCATGGTGAGTTCTGGGACAGGGACATCAAGGTGAGTTCTGGGACAGGGACACCAAGGTGAGTTCTGGGACAGGGACACCACCATGACTTATGGGACAAGGACACCACGGTGAGTTCTGGGACAGGGACACCACCATGACTTATGGGACAAGGACACCACGGTGAGTTCTGGGAAAGGGACACCAAGGTGAGTTCTGGGACAGGGGCACCACCATGAGTTCTGGGACAAGGACACCACGGTGAGTTCTGGGACAGAGCACTATGAAGCTAAAGGGTCAGAACACGGCCATCTGATGACTCGATGATACTCCCACTGCCTTATATGGCTTGAGGAAGTAATGTGGGTCATCGGTTTGGTCTTTAGAAGGGCAGCGGTCGGCTTGGGTCTCTACAATCAATCCCGTGATCTGAAGCTGACACCAGGTGACTAATTCGGAACCTTTCTGCCCAAATCAGTGAAGAACCTTAATCCCAGGTTCTGACCAGGATCCGGTCCGATCATTCAAAACCTCCTCGACCTGTAGGTATTAAAGTCAGAAGGAACTGGGTCTGAACCAGTCAACCAGTCCTGGATCTCTGCCTTTTACCAGACAGAACAATCATCCACTCAGAGACTGGATTTGGTTCTGGTGGAACAGAACCTCTGGTCTGTCTGGCTGGACTGAACTGGACTCTCCACCATCAGCCCTCTGGCCAGCAGAACATCAGACTCTGGGCTGATCCCAGCTGCAGTTTTGATCATTGGGGACTTTCTGATGCGTGCCAGGCCCTGGTTAACCCGGGTTATTCTGATTGGACCAGCCAGGACACCTGTCGGAACTAGCAGGATCTGTGTAACCTGGGTTATTCTGATTGGACCAGCCAGGACACCTGTCAGAACCAGGTCCCGTTGTCAGTGGCTTACCTCGTCGTCCTTGTACCAGGACAGAGCCTCGGCGGTCAGGACAAACCAGTACTCTTTCGCTCCACCCTTCATGATGCCGATGTTGTTGATGGTGAGCCAGCCTTTGCGGATCACCTGGAACACATCATGGCAGCAGGTCACCTTCAGCAGAACCGGAGCAGAACCAAGGCTGAACCAACACCTCACTTACTCACCATGATCTCATCCTGGTTACCATAGCAACAGAGGCAGAAGGAGACAAAGGAAAGAAACACAATAATTAACATACCACTGTTTGGTCTGTAGCCCCGCCCCCTCACCTGCAGGAACCTACCTGGTTCCCCGCTGCCTTCTTCTTGTTGATCTGACTGCTCTTCTGCTGCGCGCTGACACACACACACACGCACACACACACACACACACACACAGGTTAACTTGTGACAGCTACTAACAGCGACTAGCAGGTACTAACAGCTACTAGCAGGTACTAACAGGTACTAACAGCGACTAGCAGGTACTAACAGGTACTAACAGGTACTAACAGGCACTAACAGGTACTAGCAGGTACTAACAGGCACTAACAGCGACTAGCAGGTACTAACAGGTACTAACAGGTTCTAACAGCGACTAGCAGGTACTAACAGCGACTAGCAGGTACTAACAGCTACTAGCAGGTACTAACAGGCACTAACAGGTACTAACAGGCACTAACAGCTACTAGCAGGTACTAACAGGTACTAACAGCGACTAGCAGGTACTAACAGGTACTAACAGGTACTAACAGCTACTAGCAGGTACTAACAGCTACTAGCAGGTACTAACAGGCACTAACAGGTACTAGCAGGTACTAACAGGTACTAACAGCGACTAGCAGGTACTAACAGGTACTAACAGGTACTAACAGGCACTAACAGGTACTAGCAGGTACTAACAGGCACTAACAGCGACTAGCAGGTACTAACAGGTACTAACAGGTACTAACAGGCACTAACAGGTACTAGCAGGTACTAACAGGCACTAACAGCGACTAGCAGGTACTAACAGGTACTAACAGGTTCTAACAGCGACTAGCAGGTACTAACAGCGACTAGCAGGTACTAACAGCTACTAGCAGGTACTAACAGGCACTAACAGGTACTAACAGGCACTAACAGCTACTAGCAGGTACTAACAGGTACTAACAGCGACTAGCAGGTACTAACAGGTACTAACAGGTACTAACAGCTACTAGCAGGTACTAACAGCTACTAGCAGGTACTAACAGGCACTAACAGGTACTAGCAGGTACTAACAGGTACTAACAGCGACTAGCAGGTACTAACAGGTACTAACAGGTACTAACAGGCACTAACAGGTACTAGCAGGTACTAACAGGCACTAACAGCGACTAGCAGGTACTAACAGGTACTAACAGGTACTAACAGCTACTAACAGCTACTAGCAGCTACTAACAGCTACTAGCAGGTACTAACAGGCACTAACAGGTACTAGCAGGTACTAACAGATACTAACAGGTACTAGCAGGTAGGGTTGGGAATTGAAAAGATTTTCACGATTCCGATTCCCTTTTCGATTCTATGAAACGATTCGATTCTTAATCGATTCTTTTTTCGATTCCAATTTGGGGGAAAAAGGAGAACAAACAGTTTGATTATCAGAATCAACTTTGTTTACTTAACTATTGCACAATCTTACAAACTCAACAAGATCAAGATGTCCACAGGAAATGTGAAACTGGAGTAACATCCGTGTTTAAATGAAAAATGAATACAAGAACAAACTTAATAACCAACAATGTCTAATAACAAATGATGGGATAATCTATTTTAAATAACAAAAAATACTAATTATAAAACAGTAGTAGGGAAAATTAACAGTTCTTTTGCAGAAAGATGAGCATATCTGCTTTTTCTGGAAGGATACGGGATCTTTCAGGGCTTATGGTGTCTCCAGCCGTGGAGAACACCCTCTCAGATGGGATGGAGGAAGCCTGCACACAGAGGTAGTTTTCAGCCAGTCCAGATAGCAAGGGCAGCGTATCTTGCTTGTTCCACCACCACAGTGTGGCGCTATCCCTGCAGGGGATGGAGGGCAAGCTTTTATAGAGCTGGATTTCCTGATCTACCCTCTGGGCTAAGGAAAGACGGGGCTTTGATTCACAAAGTGACCGCAGCTCGTTGTCTTCCTTCTCGAATAGTTCTTCCAACTTGCGTAACTTGCGTAACTTGCGTAACTTGCGTAACTTACGTAACTTGCGTAACTTACGTAAAAAACGTGACGTAAGTCGTGCTCCCCAGAGCCGGCGCTTTAGGCTCTGGTGCTGCGGGAATCGAAAAAAGAATCATTCAGCGAGCTGCCAAACGATGCCATGGAATCGGAAAATACGGAACCGGTTCTGAACAGGAACCGGTTTTCGATTCCCATCCCTACTATCAGGTACTAACAGGTACTAACAGGTACTAACAGCTACTAGCAGGTACTAACAGCTACTAGCAGGTACTAACAGCTACTAGCAGGTACTAACAGGTACTAACAGCTACTAGCAGGTACTAACAGCTACTAGCAGGTACTAACAGGTACTAACAGGTACTAGCAGGTACTAACAGGTACTAACAGGTACTAACAGCTACTAGCAGGTACTAACAGGTACTAACAGCTACTAGCAGGTACTAACAGCTACTAGCAGGTACTAACAGGTACTAACAGGTACTAGCAGGTACTAACAGGTACTAACAGCTACTAGCAGGTACTAACAGCTACTAGCAGGTACTAGCAGGTACTAACAGCTACTAGCAGGTACTAACAGGTACTAACAGCTACTAGCAGGTACTAACAGCTACTAACAGGTACTAACAGCTACTAGCAGGTACTAACAGGTACTAACAGCTACTAGCAGGTACTAACAGCTACTAGCAGGTACTAACAGGTACTAACAGCTACTAGCAGGTACTAACAGGTACTAACAGCTACTAGCAGGTACTAACAGGTACTAACAGCTACTAGCAGGTACTAACAGGTACTAACAGCTACTAACAGGTACTAACAGGTACTAACAGCTACTAGCAGGTACTAACAGGTACTAACAGCTACTAGCAGGTACTAACAGCTACTAGCAGCTACTAACAGCTACTAGCAGGTACTAACAGCTACTAGCAGGTACTAACAGCTACTAACAGCTACTAGCAGGTACTAACAGGTACTAACAGCTACTAACAGGTACTAACAGATACTAACAGGTACTAGCAGGTACTAACAGCTACTAGCAGCTACTAACAGCTACTAGCAGGTACTAACAGCTACTAACAGCTACTAGCAGGTACTAACAGGTACTAACAGCTACTAACAGGTACTAACAGATACTAACAGGTACTAAAAGCTACTAACTGAAGGATATCTTTTTATTTGATGGTTAAAGACTAAAACATGGTCTGATGATCAGCTTCACTAATTCTCAGCTACCAGCCTGTAGCTTATTTTTCAGAATGAACTTGGGATCAGACGTTCTCACACTGTTTGGCGGCTGTGACATCCATGTTGATTTTTTTCTTCCAGCTAAACTCAGACACCGATGGCAAATCCACATATGATGAAATATATATATATATATATATATATATATATAAAAATTAATTAAGTGGGAGCATGATCTACAAGAACTTGCAGAGGAGGGCTGCAGTTCTATGTTTGGCCACAGATGGCAGTATCACTAGAAAACTGTAAGGTTCTTACTTTGCAAAGCCGATAAAATCCTCATGATTAGTGTTGACATAGGCCAGCTCAATGTCAATCAGCAGCATCACCTGAGGACAAGATTCAGAAAAGGACTTTAGGGACATAGCTGAGGGAGCAGGGACATCTGGGGGCTCAGAAACCCTGGGGGCCTTGCCTGGTCTTTGGTGCGGCTCTCTCTGTCTCTGATGTGCTGAGTGACGATTCGTTCCATCTCTTCTCGGAGCATCGGATACTGAGCTAGCTGCAGACAAGAAGCAGGACACAGGAACAGGGAGAAGACAGAGAAGGACAAGTTAAATTAGGTCCAATTTAGTGTCTGGCCAGTCTGTTACTGTTGTTGGGTGTTAAAGTCTTTTATCCATAAATCTATGTATTATGAAGCGTTTCTACGTGTTATTAGTCTTTGGATGTTGGACCCAAGGTTGGTGGGATTAGATCTCAGCCATCTGTAAGTTTCCAGGAGTTCTGCCCCACTCGGTGAGAAAACATCCACAGACCTACTCACTCTGGTCTTCATAATCTGAACCTTAAGCTGACTAGAAGCTGAGTATTAAAAAATAACAGCATTTCCTCATAACCTCCTTCTACCTGACCAGATTTGAGTTTGATCTTAGTCTCCTGCTTAGAGACCATTCCATTATAGTAGATAAATATCAAACAATGCTGTAAAATGTTTGTAGAATCTGATGCATTTTTAAAATAATTGGAATGAAAAAAAAAAGGTAGCATATTCTTCCATTACAACAACTGAGGTTTTTGTTAAGTTATGTCTTCTGTGCTGTACTGCTCTTGAAATAGTAGCCTCTAAAAAAGAAAAAATAAGTTAGTAGGATGCTGATTCCTTGGTTTAATACAGTTAATACAGTAATACGCAGTGTGACGATTACCGTTAGAAAACCGGAAAGAAAATGGCGCTCTACATACGTAAAGGAATCCTATCTAATCTGGAAACACAGTTTGTCAAACCAAAGCAGCATATTTCTCTTAATTAAAAGTGGAGAATAATAATTATCTTAGATTTCCTTTTATACAAATAAAGTTAAAAAGCTGTTTTATTTAGTTTCTTCCTCTGTTACTACATTTTTAATGAGCATAAGGGTTTTCTGCAGAGGGGACTTCGTGATTAGTGTTGACATAGGCCGATGACATAAGGCAGAAACACAGTTTGTTTGCAGCTTCTGATACTGTAAAAAAAGACGGAATGAAAACAAATGTAATTGTATTGCAATCGTTGTAATACTGTGTACTGCTTGTAGTACTGGTAGTACCTTGTTAGTACACTGCCTGACAGTGTTGACGAGCTCACTGATCACCAGGTCCACGCACTTCTGGCACGGTTCTTTGAGCTGAGCGATCTGGCGCTTGACGATGGTCTCAAAAGCCATGTCTGGTGTGAAGAGACCCGTCCTGAGGACAGAACGCGGATCATCACACGTGTCCCGAGTCCTAATTAAGGCATACGTATACCGGCAGACATGACTCCCACCTGATTCCGTGGATGTTTTTGATGGCGTAGCTGATCTCCTTGCGCAGTGTCTTCTCGTCGCCCTCCAGCTACAGTTGAGACACGTGAACACCTGTTAACTGGTAGCAGGTCACCTAGTCACATGGTAGACCTGTGTGTGCGTTTACCTTGACCAACTCGAAGGGAAAGCGCTCATGGAAGACCCGGTTTATTTTGGCTCCTCCCGACAGCTCGTAGGTGTCCACTTGATCTCCAGAACCTTCGATCCGTTTCTCAAAGTCCACCACGAACTGCTGCACCATCCTGAGACACACAGACCTCCGTTACCATGCAGCTGCTTCTGAGGGGTTCTGGTTGCTACGGCAAACGGCCGAGTGGCGCTCTTCAGGTACTGGTACTGACTGCAGCAGGGCCTTGGTCTTGCGGCTGGGGTCGTCCGGTCTGAAGTTCTTGTACTCCTCTACCTCCTTTTCGATGGAAAGCAGCTGGCTCTGCAGCTTGCTCCGTAACGCCGGCAACGTATCTCGAATGTGATTGGTTAGTTGCTGGGGAAACAGGAAAAGATGAAAACTGTGATGCTGAAACTGGAAAAAGGAGCTGGTCTAAGAGGTGGATTTGGTTTGTGAGGCAAATCTGATGGTCAGTTGGCCTGAGAGGACCGGAGACACATCGGTGGACTGCGAGGAGCTAAAGCTGCACCGCAGGAGGACGCCTGATGGAAAATGGACCCCCATCTCCCCCTGAGCTACCAACGGTTTGACCCCAACAATTACTCAGAAGCAGGAAATAAAAACAGGTGCTGACTGCTCACCTGGTTGAGGACCTTCTGCAGGTAGGCGGTGCCCATGCGGTCAGCCAGGTGACGGTAGGCAGGATGGGACAGGAAGAACTTCCTCTCAGCCTGCATAGCTGCTGTGATGTCTTTCTTCCCATCGATGTCCTTCTGACTGCGGTTCACCACCCCAACATAGCCTGACACCAAAACATGTCTCTTAATGTCTCAGTGTGGAAACCTGACCTGTCTCTGAGTGGACACCAGAACTCTGACCTGTCTCTGACTGGACACCTGAACCCTGACCTGTCTCTGAGTGGACACCAGAACTCTGACCTGTCTCTGACTGGACACCTGAACCCTGACCTGTCTCTGAGTGGACACCAGAACTCTGACCTGTCTCTGACTGGACACCTGAACCCTGACCTGTCTCTGAGTGGACACCAGAACCCTGACCTGTCTCTGACTGGACACCAGAACCCTGACCTGTCTCTGAGTGGACACCAGAACCCTGACCTGTCTCTGACTGGACACCTGAACTCTGACCTGTCTCTGAGTGGACACCTGAACTCTGACCTGTCTCTGACTGGACACCAGAACCCTGACCTGTCTCTGACTGGACACCTGAACTCTGACCTGTCTCTGACTGGACACCAGAACCCTGACCTGTCTCTGACTGGACACCTGAACCCTGACCTGTCTCTGACTGGACACCAGAACCCTGACCTGTCTCTGACTGGACACCAGAACCCTGACCTGTCTCTGACTGGACACCAGAACTCTGACCTGTCTCTGACTGGACACCTGAACCCTGACCTGTCTCTGACTGGACACCAGAACCCTGACCTGTCTCTGAATGGACACCAGAACTCTGACCTGTCTCACTGGGGACATCAGGGGTCTCATTCGGCTGGATTTTTACTAAAAGTAAACGTTCACCCTAAAGCCAAAGATGCATCAGAAACAATATCTTGGATAACTTCCAAAAAAGTTAAAAAGTTAAATCAATCCACTGGACTTTGTTTCCAGGTTTGAAGACGTTTCTCTTCCATCCAGGAAGATTTTTCAATTCAAAATGTCAGAAATAGCGTTTAGTTCCAGGTTTTATCCAGCAGCCCAACAAAGCCTGGTTTTAGTTTAGAAAACATGCAAATAGAAACGAACGGACGAACGGACGGAAGGACGGACGGGTCCCCCCCTTTGGAATGTAGAGTCATTGAGGTCTCTGTTGGCCTGTAATGCCTGATACTGGTCTATGCCTCTGAGCTTCCTGGATGGAAGAGAAACATATTCAAACTTTCAAACAAAATCCACTGGATTGTTTTTTAATTTTTAAAACATTTTTGGAATTTATCCAGATGATCAATCGTATTTCGTGTATTTATATATATTTATATGTTTAATAAACTGCAGCATAGAGCCACAGCCATTATTATCCTGTATAAATACAGGATTGTTACAAAGCCTCATGTATAAATCAATGTGTTTTAGACCCTGCAGAGTGCTGCCTTTCCATGTCTGACTTTGGCTCTGTAGAAGCGTCCATCCAGCTGACCTCTCATTGTTCCTAGAAGTTATTCACACTGATTAACACAGCTGAGGAACAGTTTTCAGTTATCATTCTGGATGGTTCTCTAATGGGACAGATGCGTTTAGGTGTCCTGGTCTTCACCTTGACTCTGAATTGACCTTTGGGCATGGGATCAGAGATTGCATGAATGACTGATCACTAAATTTGATTTTTGAAAATCCAATACCAAAAACGGCCAGCAGATGGCAGAAGTGCATCTATATCTACCACCTGCATGAACCACATTTCTGTTGATATCCAGTTTTGTTGCTCAGCGTTCCTGGAGCGCAGCACGAAGCAGGCGCCTGGTTGACCTGACTTCCTGCTCCGGCTGCTAAATGCCGTCTGGCCCCGTCTCCTCCAGCCACGCCCAGCGCCATTTATTTTCAGACCGTTATCTATGGTGGTGACTTCTTCCCTGGACTTCATGAACTGCATGGTGCCCCCTCCATCCCGTTCTCTCCATCGTCCTTCGCTCCAAACAAAAAGTTTCATTTATTTATTTTTTGACTTTTAACTCGTCTCTCCGGTGAATGGAGCCTTAGATGACTTCAGGAGAACTTCAGAACTTAACCACATTCTATCTGGCCACTTGAGCAAGAAACATGTGAAGGAGGTACACGCTTGTCTAGGACCCGCCCCCTTCTTCTGATTGGCTAATACTTTTAGTTTCTGAACGCTCCTTTGCTATCATTGGCTAACAAATGCAAGAGGGATTTTGATTCTTTCTTTTTTATTTATTTACCATCAATTTATTTTCAAGTGATTTTTTTTTACCCGCGGGAAATCGCTATGAGCTGGAAACCCGGCATGGGGCCGGAATACCGGAATCCCTGCACCCAGCATCGGTATTCCAGCTCAGGTTTAGTCCTGGTTCTAGTTTTCCTCGTTGACTTCTGTGTTGCTGTTTTCCTGTAGGTCAGAGTTTACCTGAAGAATCTCACATTTATCACAGCGTTTGGCTGGATGGCAGCGAAGGACAGCTCTATGAATGAGACCCATGGTTTCTGTCTCAGTCTGTCTACTTGGAAAGTGTCCACTCTCATGTCTAATGACTGCGCTGCTTTGTTTGGCCTGACTTTAACAGAGCATTGTGAACCAATCAGCAGTAAACACTGGCTGTGATGTCATACCCCTGCGCAGCGGCAGCAGCTTGTTCTCCAGAATGTCTCTGGCGTCGGTTCCTTCATCCATTAGGTCCAGTTTGGTGATGACACCGATCGTCCTCAGACCTGCAGCCCACATGGAAAAAAACAAAAAGCTGTCCTATGTGGATGCGCTGTATATACTGTATATGTTCTATTAACCTTTTCCTTTGGCACCTTCTTCTTCTCTTTCGACTGTATGAGCTGATGTAACGAGTACATTTCTCCAATGTGAGACCAATAAAGTCAATCAATTATTCAATCAATCAATGTAGGCCTTTACTTCCTGTCTCTGAGCTCAACTGGATGCCTGAAGGATGCAGGTCACAGTTAGATATATATACTCAACCTTGTGGATCAACTTCCTTGGCGATCTTCAAAGCATCGGAGTTGGCGAGGTCAGAATTAGCAGGAGACACGGCCAATAAGAGACAGTTGTCCTTAGTGACAAACTGCATCAGCATTTCTCTGATCTGGTGCTCGATGTCGGCAGGCTGGTCACCCACCGGGACCTTCGTCATCCCCGGAAGGTCCACCAGAGTCAGGTTGAGCACTGCAGGAAACAGCCACAGTTTGAGTCAAAAGAGAGTTGGGGGGGGGGGGGGGGGTCTTTGTGGGTGTGTTTGCAGTGAATCACCATTGGGGGAGTACACTCTCAGGTTTATGGGCACCGGACTGATTCCTTTGTTGTGTCCCGTCGCTCGATCTGTTTCAGCCTCGATCTCCTGGCGAACCTCATCGAAATCTGTGAACTTCTTCCCCTTGCAGTGCAGGAACTCTGCATATTCTGATCAAGCACAAACAGCCGGGTGGTGAGCATGACAGGACGGTCCAGCACCATTCAGAGGACCATACCGGATACAGACTCTGCAGACTCACCTGTGGGACAGTTGATGAGCTGAAGAACCAGGGGACGCCTGGTGACGATTCCTGATCCACGGGGCAGGAAGTCCCTGAAGGGAGGGGGGGTGGGACTATTAATTATATGGGGCTTTATGGTCATTTATACACTATGCTGGAAAGCAGTAAACTCTCAACCTGAGGTGGTTCATGAATCCCAGATCAGAATAAGGTACAAACGCTGCTATTAAGTAAAAGCGAAGGAGGCACGGCTGCCCCACGTTTAGAAAACGCATCATAAGGTTCAGAGTTCTGATCGCATGGTGTCACCCAACATGACACACTGGCAGCATTGTTTTCCTCAGCAATGACGAAATTATTTCATTGACGCTCCTTTTTTTCCACGATGATAATGAGAACTGATGAGCTAAACGTGGATCTTTGTCGATGAAACCTTGAGAGTGATGTTGTCATACATTGCTGCAGCTTTGAACATGGTTCATGTTTGAAGCAGTGCTGCAGGTTCTCCATGGCCCCCTCCGACCACACTCTGACCTGATTAGCTGGGTCTGTATGCAGGAATTAGCATGACAGAAAGGTGATCTTACGAGCCAGGGTGGGGGCGGGGAGCTGCTCTGAATGCATGTTTGATGTTAGAATAGGCTAGGTCTAGACTGTTCTGTCCCAGAGTTGCAAAGTCCACGTTGGTCAGCACGCTGGTGAAGATTCTCAGCCACTCAGGTCATAGTCATTCCAAAAAAGATAAAAAACAATCCACTGGAAAAACGACTCCACATTCCTAAGGGGCGGACCCATTCTTCTGCTTCAATTTGCATGTTTTCTAAGGCAACACTAATTTTTTGGGCTACTGTATAAAGCCTGGAACCCAACGCTATTCCTGACATTTTAAAAAGCTTCCTGGATGGGAAGACAAACGTCTTTAAACATGGAAACAAAGTCCAGTGGATTATTTTTTAACGTTTTTGGAATTACATGTTGGTAGAAATGAGGGAGAACAGTCTTCCAGTTAGCCTGGTTAAAATCCTCAGCAATGATGGAAACAGCCTCTGTGTGCAGATTGGAGCTCAGAGATAGCCTGGTATAGAGTCTTCATGGCCTCTTTAGTGTTAGCGCTGGGGGGGGCATAAACAGCAGTGATGCTAACCACACTGAACTCTCTGAGCAGATAGAACGGCCTGCAGCTAACAGTCAGAGCCTCCATGTCTGGAGAGCAGAAGCTGGAGACTGATCCAGCATTTTAGATGATCCATTTAGTTTTCCAGTGAGTGGAAGATGGAGAGCAGGGTTGATGGTGGTTTGTAGGGGTTTTGCTTTATCTTCTTTGTTAGATTTAGCCACCGGGCACACCGTCTGTGCTTGCTCCTCCTCGGCGTGGTCTATTCGGCGAGTCCGCTGGAATGTGGGCCATGCGCGCCCAAAGGCCTGTACTGTATTTACGAGTCCCGAGAAAACACTCGATGACTGTAGCTCCAGCAGGTGCTGGCGTTCATAAACTAACCCACTGGATTGATGGCTAGTTTGTAGCGTGCTATTCTCATATTTCAGATCACTATGTTTATATTTGATCACCATGTTTACCTTTCATCACTATGTTTACATTAGATCACTGCTGCACTATAGGAATGGAAATTTCCTGACAGTGGTAGTGAATGAAATGTAATTTTGTAAACACTCTTTGTACAGAATGAGGATAAAGATGTGGTTCAGATAATTCAGTGAATTATGTGGTTCTGATTGGAGGACAGATTTATTGGTATTATTCGCCTTCCTATGGCTGCCTGAAATGGTCCAGACAGCCACAGGAAGGCGAAGCAGCAGCGGCAGCGGCAGCAGCGGCAGCGGCAGCAGCGGCAGCGGCAGCGGCAGCAGCGGCAGCGGCAGCGGCGGCGGCGGCAGCAGCGGCAGCGGCAGCGGCAGCAGCGGCAGCGGCAGCAGAGGCAGCGGCAGCGGCAGCGGCAGCAGCGGCAGCGGCAGCAGAGGCAGCGGCAGCGGCAGCAGCGGCAGCGGCAGCAGCGGCAGCGGCAGCGGCAGCAGCGGCAGCGGCAGCGGCAGCAGCGGCAGCGGCAGCAGCGGCAGCGGCGGCGGCAGCGGCGGCAGCAGCAGCAGCAGCCTCCATCTGCTCAGCCAGTATAAATCAGGAGGCCTTTTTAATTCATTCATTTTTAGATTTATTGTTCCTCTTTGTGGGAAATGTTTTTTGGTTTTTAATGTGTTTGTAAAATAAAAATGCATAGATGTAACAATAGAAGAGAATAGAAGCAGCAATGGTGCTGATGTGGAGGAGCTGAATCGTCACGACAGCCCCCCCCCAACATGCTGCTGGTTCTGTCAGGCGACTCTGACTGAAGCTCTGCAGAATCATGTGACCAGCTGCAGCCAATCAAAGCAGACATGCAGATAAAAATATTCAACCAATCAGGCGAGAGCCTCAGAGAGGCGGTGACCTCCTCCTGGGCCACATGAGTTCTGCAGCAGAACCGAACTGGAAGCTTCCAGAACCTGTTGGTTCTGATCCGTTCTCAGTCTGTATCCTCTGGTTCTGCCTGAAGCGGATCAGCTCAGAACCTCAAAACCTGCCTTACAGGATTCTGAGTCCTGCTTGGAGGATTAAGCCCTCGGTTCTCCTGGTGGACCCATCCAAGTTCTCCAGACCCGAGTCCCCCAGACCCGAGTCCTCCAGAACCACCAAAAAAAAAAAAAAAAAACTGGTTCTCAAACATCATTGCAATTGAGGTACCCTTGTGGCTGACAGTGGCCCCTTTAGACAGTGGCCCCTGTAGAGGAGTGGCCCCTTTAGACAGTGGCCCCTTTAGACAGTGGCCCCTGTAGACAGTGGCCCCTTTAGACAGTGGCCCCTGTAGAGGAGTGGCCCCTTTAGACAGTGGCCCCTGTAGACTGTGGCCCCTGTAGACTGTGGCCCCTGTAGAGGAGTGGCCCCTTTAGACAGTGGCCCCTTTAGACAGTGGCCCCTGTAGAGGAGTGGCCCCTTTAGACAGTGGCCCCTGTAGACAGTGGCCCCTTTAGACAGTGGCCCCTGTAGAGGAGTGGCCCCTTTAGACAGTGGCCCCTTTAGACAGTGGCCCCTGTAGAGGAGTGGCCCCTTTAGACAGTGGCCCCTGTAGAGGAGTGGCCCCTTTAGACAGTGGCCCCTGTAGAGGAGTGGCCCCTTTAGACAG